ACTATATTCCTTTTCAGCTATGTCCCCTTATCTCTTCTTGTTAACAATACATCGAAGAATAGTGTCTTAGAGTACGATTCCATCTCTACTGTAAAATTAGTCAGGAAGTGACATTCAGCGAAAAACTGCAACACTTTCTGCAAGTCAGAATTCTCGTCGCAAATGTTAAATGTATAATCGGAACATGTTCTGTAGGATTTAAACTATCTGATAAATGAATTGAGGATGGTTGTTTCCAGTTTGGTCATAGATATATCTCCTAACAGTGGACTCAATGGTGACCTTTTTGTCACCCTGTCTCTCTAGTGGTAGCAGGTGTTATTAAAGTTGACCTTTGGATCAGTTTGGACACCTTAAGACTCGTTCTTTCGCATACTACTTTTCAGTTCATCGATGTTAATTGCATTCAAGTCAGTGTAGGTAAATTTGAAACAACCTGTTTCATTCAGAAGGACGCTTTTGAACAGTGAAGTAGCAAAAAAATGACAACATAGCGTTGTGCAAAACATTCACATGACATATAGAATCAACAAACTCCTATATATTTCATAGAGAAAAGCTGGAAACCTGTTTTCTGATAAGTATTATAAGTTACAATGACATTTGGCAATTGAATGATAGGTGAGCTAAATACATCCACGACTGGATGTAACGTCAAGTCAAATTTATGGGTCTTAGCTACTTCGTATAGACGATTCAGAAGTTAATCGTCTTTCGTGCAATTCAAGACAGATGACTAATTCATTTTTCATTCTTTTTAGAAGTTCAGTCAGTTGACGCTCACTTAACTCTGTTCTATTCTCTTCACTTGCTAACTTGGAGGCCTTGCTTTCATTCGATAGATGTTTAGACATTTTTTCACCGTAATCTTTTCTGTCCACTAGGATAAGACCAAAACCTTTATCAGGATGAGGCATTATGATGTCGCCATTATGCTTCAATTTGTCTAGTCTTAAGGTATGTGAAGGCTGTAATGATTTGAGGCGCTTTAATACGTATGCTTCATTGAATTTTAAAGAAGAATTACTTTCTCTTGTAATTGGTAGGCTTCATTACTAAGAAGTTTTGCACCAGTAAGATTTTCAGATAAGTTCAATTTGTAAGGAGGTTTTTCGTGTGCAGAATCTTTCAGTTATACATTAAGTTGCAGCATTTTATTTCAAACTTAATTGAGCAGTTTGGTAATAGAACGCCAGGATTATCATTCACTTTGTAAAAACTTTCCTCTGTAGTTGATACATAATAATAATGACTTTATTGAAAACAACATTCTTGACACAGTAGTATTCTATTCTTAGTGTGTAGTATTTCAACAAATTCACTCCTTGCATATTGTTCTAAAATGAAATAATTATGGCATTAATGTAAGCAGTAAGATGTAACGAGCATCTGTTATGTTATCGTCTATTCTGAAGGTCACCGTGTGGGGATGAATAGAAAAGATTGTATTTGTTGGTAGTAACCCATTAAGGCAGCATGAAAATCTTGAGTTGCAGTTAATTATTCCAGGAATATTACGCGCCCATTACCACGTAGCACGATGCTTTTTTTCTGAATGCTTTTGATGACTTGCAAAATAAGAGTTTGGAGAAACTTTGAAAGTAGGCAAAAGTATATAATATAACTTCATGTTATATATTAAAATGATTAAAACAAATTGAAAAGGAGTAATAAGATGGGCCAAGGTTCAAGTAGACTACGAACAAATTTTCGAAAAAGTATTTTATCTGAGCAACATATATCAAGGAACAGCGTCGACAGTGTCGGCCAACACATCATTTAGCAATATGTTCCAGACTGCTTATAAGTTTGGGTATGTTGTCGTGAATATAACTCTTGTGTATGGTTTTCTTAGATTGGTGTGATAAAGCACTTTTGTTTATTTAACTGTATACCCCCAGTAGGATAAGTTTAACACAGTGATGTCAGTACAGTGAGTAAAACAACAACTTTATGTGCATGAACTTGAAAGCTGTACATATATTAAGAAATATAGGTCATGAAGGTGTATCTGTTTACTAACAGTTAGATTTTTAGAAGTCGGTTAACAAGAAGTCTTGTTCGAAACAAGCAGGCTAGTTGTTTGCACTCACCAACAAGGCGAATCTCTAACCCTGTGAAAATCCGTATCCCCTCAACTTGATATTGATATGAACACTTTATCACTGAAATGGTAATGTCACCATTCACTTCTTGTACGAGTGAAATATGTACAGAAAGGTCCTCACCAGACAGTAAATAATCTGGCTATCAAACTCAAATTGTTGTCTTCTAATCAAATACTACTACTACTATTGCTACTATCACTAATAATAATAACAATAGTAATGACAATAATGACTTTGTTCTGAACGCTATTACAGGAATACACTACAGACTTTACAGCAAGTCCTATAGCATCAACTGCACAGATACCATGCACATGTATACGTAGCAAAATGAACGAAAGTAAATTTACATAAAAAACATTAGAATGTTTACTCTGTCTACAACTTTCTTGAAAATGCACAGTTAATTTAGGTAGACAATCGCATTAGCAATTAGATTCATAATACATAAATAGTAACATGCTGTGTACTAACCAATTAGCTGGCTTTCAAAAAAAGTTGATTAGTTAGTTTACTTTTAATACTTGACGTATTGGTTATTGGTGCATCCTAGCATGATTTCCTCTATAGGTACCTTACTTCAATGACGATCGAGGAAATCATACTTGGAGTACGATTGTGCCTAACATCTACAGTTTTTAAGTTTCAAAATAAAATATATAGACAAAATGAAGGTGTTGTCATGGGATCACCAATACCCCCTATCGTCGCAGACATATTTATGGATAGTTGGGAACAGATGACCCTTTAAAAATTCAGTTCTACTCCAAAGTTTTGGTTCCGATATGTAGATGCTACGTTTACAGCACTGAAATCGGAAAACATCAATAGGTTCTTGACACATATAAATTGAGTAGTGAATGCAGTCGAATTTATGTGTGACTTAGCAAGTGAAGAAGGTGAGCTAGCAATGTTGGATTGCAAGATTAAACGAATACAAGTAGGAAATCTACAGACTAGTGTCTAGAGGAAACCTAACCATTCGAATGTCTACTTAGACTTCGAATTCTCTCACCCCATTTCAGCTAAAGTAAGCCTAGTTAAATGTTTAAGTGATAGAGCGAAAAAGCTTACTAGTAGATCGGAAAATCTGCGACAAGAAATTAGACACATCAAGAATAACCTACGTCTCAATAATTACCCACCAAGATTTATAAATAAATTCATAAGAAATTGGAAGAGAAATATTAGCAGTGGTAGTAGTAATAATACAGGTGTCATTCATAATAATTCTACCATTAATGGTAAAAATGGTGACGGAGTTGAGAGGGAATTCAAAGCCTCTGATATGTCAACCTACATAGAAGTCAGCTGAGAAGCACCACGAAGAGTTCTCAATCAGGTTGGGATTAAAGTGGCATTTCAACCAGCAAACTCCCTTACAAACAAGCTTTCTAGATTAAAAGATCTTATCGATGAAATTAAGAAAAATAATCTGGTTCACCAAATCCCTTGCAATGATTGCCGGGCCAAATGCATAAGTCAAAGTGGTCGACCAGGTTCAATCAGAATAACAGAGCACAGAAATCTACCTAAATCAAGATGAGTAGATCCTTATGAGATAGGGAATTCAGAGAAAAGCTCGGTTATACCTATGCACGTAACTGCACACAGTAGGGAGAGATAGAACAACGGTATAGAAATTTAATTGAATGGAGGGAGGGAGAGAATGATAACCAAATCTTTGTCTATCGAATCAACACCAAATACATGCAGTAATACAAATGATTCTGCACTTATCCCAGATATATCGAAAATTCTATTACCCTTATCATTAGAGAGAAGGAGAGATGATTAGAACTTCATAAACGATGTCTCAAAGCTGTGGAGTCACCTGATATGAATATGGACAATAAATCATGTCCGAAACGTTATCCAGTAAATGATAATGTTTCATTGTGTGACATTTCTAATAAACAGACTAAAATATAAGTTGATTAGTTAGTTAATTTCTTATACTCTCTTAATCGTCTTCTGGAGATGAGCTAAATACGGTAGTGTAGATTCTTATTTTTAATAGTACGTGCATAAAGTCTTATGTACTTGCTCCTTGTCCATGTGGATAACCAACACACAGAGAGCTTTGAGTGAATAGGATGCTGATCATCTGACAGATGTTCACATAAGCTGTTTATATATTTGTCTACAACTGTTCTAACTAGAAGGTTATGAGGTACACCACTCATTCTGCTGACAATCTTCAAAGTCCTACCCAACATAGCCTAGTCTTTCTCAACAACCCGGGAAATAATAAAGGAGGACAATGGAGGAGAACATGCAAGATACAGGAGTTTTTAGAACACAAGAGAATGAAGAGGCTGAACTACACCAGATACCCTCGGCTTCCTAACATACAATGCTAGGTGGAAAATTCCTCTGGAAATTAGCAAGATATGGGAGGACGAAGAAAGTTTCGAAGAGAAACACACACCAAGATAAATCGCACTTGTAACATTCTCCAATGCACAACTATCAACAGAACAGGAATCATGAGAACTAAGCAGTTTACATAGGTTATATTCAAGTCTGAAATGAAAGGTGATAGTTTGACATTGTGAAGAACTAAGCATAAGGCCATTCACGGAGTACCGTCATCCAACAGTAGTTAGGAAATCATTCAGTTGATGACAATCTGTTGAAGAGGAGACAGGTATGAAAACTGTCAGATCATCAGGATATTTGATGAAATTGATACCAGCTGAAAATAGTAAGTCTATCTGTCGATTAAATTTGATTTATCTTAGACGAACAATAAAACACGAGGTCAGTGTAAATTACAGAAATGACCTTGAAATCCTGCAACTCTTTCAACTGAACACTTAATCTAGTTTGAAATATCTATATGAATCAGGTCCCATGTGATATACAACTTCTTTTCTCCTCCTTTTATAGATGATACAAGAGAACTCGTAGACTGGTGTCATACGACCACACCG